CAGTAGTACGTGAAGTAGGAAATAAACAGCCATGGGAAGAGGCAGCAGTTATAGTTGGGTGGGATTAAAGAAGTCAATAAAGAAAGTATTATGTATTCATGGGCAATTGAAAACCAATAGCTTTGAAGACCTAAATTTAAAATCTCAGGTGACAGTATTCCAGAATAAGAAAAATGAAACAGTCTTTCTTCATTCCCCTGAGGTGTGGTAGGACACATTGGTTCGGAGCTTGGGCCGGGTAGGAAGCCAGGCCTTCTCTCCTATGAGCTGTGGAGCTTGGGCCCATCACTTAATAGCACTGTGCCTCAGTTTCCCCATATGTCAGATGAGGATAAGACTCACTTGGTACAGATTCTTTGCAGTTGAATTCAGATGGTGCATAAAAGAGGTTAACCTAATGCCTAGAGCATTGTGTAAAAATTCAGCAATAGTTATTATTAATATTGTTATTATAAGCAAAGGGGAAGACCTGTTAAGTATAAGCATAAAATTTCATCAATTTATGTCATAAACAGGAATGTAAATTCTAAGGAATGTAAATTCTAAATTATAAAATAGATGCTTACTAAAAAGAATCAGGCAATATAGAAGGATATTAAGAAAATGAAAAAATTACCTGTTATCCTACCACACAGAGAACCATAGTTACCATTTTTATATATTTTCTTTCCGCCTTTTTTCCGGTACACACAGGTCTCTAAACTGAGAGCATGGTGGGCCTGGCTGGTTCCCATGAAAGAGGGAGCATTTTCCTGTGTCATATTTGGGAGCTCTTGTATTCTATCAGGTGTCTGCATGTACTTTAATTTTACTGCTCTCCTGTCAGTAGACACTTTATAAAGAACGAGGATGGCTTCGTGTATGCAGTCAGCCCCTGGTGCTGTGCACAGCACTGTCAAACTGCCTCCTGCCAGCTCCAGGGGTCTGAGACCTTGCATACTGCTGCTACAGTCCAGCTTCTCACCAGGTTTTCCACTCATTTCATCATTTGAGTGCACATTGGGTGCCAGGCTCTTGCTAGGCACTGAGGAGGCAGAGATGAATGACACAGTCATTCCATGTCCTCCAGCGTTCATTGGGGGAGGGTGCTGAGACTGAGGCTGAGCATGCATTCCTTGGCAGCCTGCTCCACACCCAGCCCTCTGCCAAGCACCCAGGCAGCTTTCAAGAATGAGGCATAGTCTGCCACTTAATTGGGTTAAGGGATGTACATGTGACCTTTTCCCACTTTAAGGCCAACTTATACTTCCCTTTCTCCTGGATGTCTTCAGTCCTGACCCTGCAGACAGAATGGATCACTTGGTCCTATGATCCTCAGTCCATCTCCCTTGTCATAAAGGCAGCCCTGGTCCCTATCATGCCTATGTCCCCAGTACTGGCTAGTGACTTCCGTGAAGTGTAGCACATACAGTAGTCATCATTTGAATGTCAAGGAATGGAGTAATGCAAGCAGAAGAGCAGTGCTGACATTAGTGAGTGGTGCTGACTCTGTGCCCTGGGGAAGGAGTTCAGTGGGGACAGGGCTGGGTGGGCAAGGGAGGGACAGGCCTTCCAGGGGAACTGACCACAGAAGACTTGCAGGCATGGTGGCTTTTCCTAGCTTTTAAAGGGCCTTTTAATATTTTGTCCATTTATCAAAATTTTATTGAGAGGTGGTGGATGTGGGTGACAGAGGTTGATAATTTTTGCAAACCATGGAATGGTTCTACAGTTTCTTACGTACTTCTGTTTGTTTTCCAAATGTCTTTAAGGAAAATTAATGATAATTCATTCCAGTCAATTTATACCTTCAGTGTTTTATCTTTTTTGTCTATTTCTAGTCTGAAGGCATATTGGTCAAAAATGTATGTTTCTAACCATGAATTCAATACTTTATTGTCCTTTGTGTACCCTAGGGTAGATTTACAGCTTTTTATAATCATTTATGTAATGATATTTTTAGCTTAAGTTATGTTGCATTTGAAAATATTAAACTAACTTTCAGCTAGTTACACCTGTTTGAACTTAGTTAACCATGGCTTTTTTCTTTTTTACATTTTTAATTGTCCAGGCTTCTTTACAAAGAAAAACAAAAACTTCAAACAAGAAGACAGAATTGATTTTTTTTTAAAGTTTTGAATTGTCCTACAAAAGTATTTCAAAATGTTAAATTATTTAACATTTTTCTTTATTTTAGTATTCTAGTAATCCCAAGAATTAGCTCACCTTTAATCCTAAATGTACTGATACACAGTTAGATATTTTGCAAGTTTTTCTGGGACATATTCTTAGGAGTGGATTTGCTGTAGAGTATGAATGCCCTCAAATTTTCTGGATGCTGCCAAACTACCCTCCAAAATGACTGTAGCTGTCACATTTGCAGTGTATGAGAGGACTTGGTATGTACGGTCCTACAGACATTTCCTGGCATACTAATGACATTGACATCTTTCCGTACTTCATGTGGAACAGGCTGTCCATCACCTTGCCTTCTGCGATGCTTTGGCCTTGGCCATTGTGCATCCGAGGCTCGCTCTCCTCAACTCATCTCATTCTTTCTCTGGTGTCGCCACCTACCTGTGGTGACAACACAATCCAGCCCAGGTCTCCCATGGAGCTTCAGCCCTGGGTCTCCTGAGACTTATCTAAAGCCATATAGAGATGCCCATCGTGCACCAACATCTCAGTTTCCCTCAGTCCAGCCTTTAGTCCTGTGATCTAGCCTCAGGGGACCTCATGTATACCCTCTCTGTGCCTCAGGTCAAAAGCCTGGGGATTCTGATCACCTCCTTTTCCTGACTTTTTTAACACCCCCAAAAAGTGTATTTAAGTTCTACAGAGTTTACCCTCAAAATTGTACTGGGCCCACAAGCCCTCCACCCCACTGCCTTTCCTCCTTCCTTCTGCCTGGACTGTGGTCTGGACTCCAGTGGGCACCCTTTTCCAGCTGAGCTTGCCTGCCAGTTAACCTCTCTGGTGCACCTGGGGAGATGGGCCTCAAGCACAAATCCAGCTGCATCCCTCCCCTGCTTAAAGCCCTTAGTGCTTCTCACTGCCCATTGTGCTCAGTATAGTGTGGCTCAGTATAGTGGGTTGGTACTAGCTTTATTCTTTCAATGAAATTGATTAGGCAAGAACTGAAAACATCAAAGCATGTCCTACTGTAAAGTTAAATATTCTGTGAAATGTATGTGTCTGTTTTGTATATATAGACACAGATAATGTGTTGACTGGGTGATCACTGAAAATGTGTTTTTTCTTGTGGGTCAGAGAAAAAAGTCTGGGAAAACCTCTAGCCTACAGGATGACGTCTTGACTCCACAGTGACATACTGGCCCTCTGTACTGGCTTGTGCCAGGCTGTGCTGTCTCACCTCCCCCGTTTCTGCCTGGAACCCTGGGCTCCGGCCCTACTCCTCCTCCAGGCCTGGCTGGAACCTCTCCCTGGGTTCCATGATGCTCTGTGAGCACACCTTTACCAGGGCCCTGACTGCAGTTATTATAATGAGCTGTATCTCTGGCTCCCCCAGTTGTCTTTTAATTCCTTTACCTGCACTGTATCCCATCTTCTGCCCAGCACTAGCCCTGTGCCTGACACAGACCAATAATAACCACCTATTGCCCACCTATCATGCACTAGGTGGTTTACAAAAGTCTCATTTAATCCTCACACAGCTTTGTAAGGTAGACATTATCCACTCTTTTTCCAGCTGAAGCACAGAGCGTTAAGAACATAATTTGCCAAAAGCACCCAACTAGTAAGTGATGGAGCTGAGATTCAGACTCATCCATCTGACTCTAGAGCCTTGCTACCCTCACTGTCCTATATTAAAAAAAAAAAAAAAAAATCTGTTGCCATTGAGTTGATGCTGACTCATGGCCACCCCATGTGTTACAGAGTAGAACTGCTCCATAGTTTTCTTGGCTGGAGTCCTTATGGAAGCAGATTGCCAGATCTTTCTTCCATGATGCCACTGGTTGGGTTTGCATCGATCTCTAGGTTAGTAGTTGAGTGCAAACAGTTTGCACCACCCAAGGACCTCACTGCCCCATATAGGCCGGTAAATATTGAATGGACGATGGTGATGTTGTTACTTGAATACTCAAAAAATGCTAGGGTCAAGTCCTGAAGCAGTGCAGCCAGTAGTCCACATCAGAGTTCAAAGAGAAGAGAGTTTTAATCAGAAGGTACACCAGCGAGAGACGGACGAGGTCTCAGTGACTCCAAAAACTCCCACTCTGCTCAGCACATACAATCTTATACTAAAGGAAAAGAGAACCAGCACGTATGTAGGATTAGTTAACAATTTTCCAAACGTTAGATAGGACAGTGGGCAATTAAGAAAGCAATGTTTCTTGTGAGTTCCTGGCAGTCAGATAATCCTTAAGAGGTACTATTGTCTTTGTCAAAGTTCAGGTGGCTGGTCACAAAGTCTGGTCCAGGAGCCTTTACTGACATAGGTGGCTCTATCTCAGATCACAGGATGCAGCAGGAACTGATAACTGTATCTTAGAGAAAGAACAAGTTAGAGTTGAAGCCAGGTTTTAAATAAATGGCATCTTAATTAAAAATATGGAGTCAGGCCTGCTAAGAATAAAAAATCTTCAAGCCTTACAATGTCACACTTTCTCTTTGACTTAAGTCTTATGTCTGGCCAGTACTCAGGTTTATGGTCCATTAGGACAGCATGATGGTTCTCCCAACTCTTTGCAATTATCTGTTCATAGACATTTTGAATATAGGAGTGGTTGTGGGCTATAGACATCTGCCCCCTGTGCCCTGTGGAAAGGGTGATGATTATAATTTGCTTCTCCATATTCAGTGGGGACATGTGCACCTACCATGTGCTTGGTCAGCTGCTTTGGGAGCACAGAGTGGTGAGGACACAGTGCATGTGGAAAACAACTGTGTGCCGAGCATTACAGCTGGGCCTCCTGCCACGCAGGTCGCAGAGTGAGCCAGCTGTCTGTGTGTACTGTCTGGTGTGACCCTACACCCTTTCCTCTTTGTTCTCTCTCCAGGTGGACCAGCGGGTGTTCAGAGACCTCATGAGTGAGAAGCTGCCTCGATTACATGCCCACTTTGAACAGTATAAAGTTGACTATACCCTCATCACGTTCAACTGGTTTCTGGTGGTGTTTGTGGATAGTGTCGTTAGTGACATCCTCTTTAAAATATGGGACTCTTTCCTTTACGAGGGACCAAAGGTGTGTTTGCCTGGCTGAATTGTTCTCTCATATATAGACTTGGTGACTCTAGGTAGCAGGGTGGCTAGCCCCCTAGAACCCATGAGAGTTACCACAGTGCCAGAGTGGTGTCAGCATGGTGCGCCGCCAGGGGTGGTGTAGGATCTCGGGAAACAGCAGTCATTTGCTTGTTCATACAGAAGCCTGAGCCACACCCTGAGCTAGGCACTGGGAGCTTTGGTGGTATGCAGGCTCAGCCTCATTCTCTGTAAATCATGGGTGGTTGTATTACTCCCATTGTATGGATGAGGAGATGAAGGTCCACAAATATGATAGGTAGAGGATTAGGGGGACAAACACAGGGGAGCCAACTTCAGAGCCTTGTTGCCCACGACCTCCCACCCTAGTCTATTGTATATTGTTCTGTTGTTTTTGTTTTGTTTTGTTTTGTCCATGGTGCTGAGCCCATGAATCTTGTGGGCCATCCTTTTTTGTGTGTTTTAAAAAAAAAAAAAAAAATTTTTTTTTTGAATAGGTAAATACATTTATGTGACCAAAGTTCAAGTTGTATGCTGAGAGCACACTATGGAAGATAGTCTCCCGATTTGCTCTTCTTAATTTATTACATATCCTTCTGGAGGTGTTTTATGTGTGTCTAACCCAAACTTACTTTTTAAAAAAAACTTAATATATCTTGTTGACATAATCTGCATACAGATCTGGCTCATATTTTTTAAACTCAGATTTGAAAACATCAGAAATTTATATAACAGCCTGGGGTGATGGACACTCAGGTTGTTTTGACTCTCTTGTCATTTCAGACTGCTGCGGTGACTGTCCTCATGTCTTTGCACAGTACAAGTACATCTGTAGGTTTAGTCTTAGAAGTTGAAGTGCTGGGTCTGAAGGCAAGGTGGTAAAAGAAATGATTGTTGAGTCCTGAAAAAGAAAGTACAGGCGGGTACAGGCCACGCGTGCCCTTTGGATGTGGGGAAAGCCCTTTGTTCCAAAGGTATGGAACTTGCAAGACCACCAGGAGTCCATTTCCTCTAGCCTCAAACACAGCACCCCAAAAACAAGTCAGTAAAAAATTGATTCTCTTTCATCATACTGAGAAGTCAACAGTCAGATGCTGTCTAGTTCATTAGTTGCGATTGCATCTGGAGCTTCCTCAGAGTTCCAGAATCAAAAACCTCAGATTCTCATTATATTTGAAAATGATTTCTAATTCCTGACTAGAAACATTAGCTGAATGTGAACCAATTCCACAACAGTCTACTCTATATAGAAGTGGTTTGATCTTGGCTACAGTGTTGTTGAAAACTCCTCAGGGAATTTATTTTTCTGTGAAAAAGGGGTCTTGTCCCAGCTAGTGGAAATTTGTCTCAGGTCAAGTTCTTGCCCCAGAGCAGGGCCCTGCCAGCTGCTTAACTGACCTTCCTCAGGGTCCCAGGGACAGCTACACGCACACCCAGAAGTCTAGAGCCCAGGCTGTGTTGGACTGATGATGTTTTCTCTGCTTACAAATTGCCCTGTTCGTTCCACAGGTTATTTTCCGTTTTGCCCTGGCACTTTTTAAGTACAAGGAAGAGGAGATCCTGAAATTACAGGAGTCGATGTCCATATTCAAGTATCTCCGTTACTTCACTCGCACTATCCTAGATGCTCGGTGAGTCCTTGGGGGATTTCTTAGACATCAGAGAGGGTAGCAGTCCTGACCTCTGCCTCCTTGTGAACAGACCTATCCTTGCTGCCTTCAGACTCAGAGTCATCCTGGGTGTGCTGCCTCTGACAGAGCAGAAAAAGAAATGGGGAAGGGTGTGAGCATGGGGGACTTCCAAAGACTAGGGAGAAGTGGAGACCAAAGAGTTTTATCCTTTATCTAACAAACATCAATCGCAGTAACCAGAAGCAACGTGTTTATCTATCTGACAAATATTTATCGAGTGCCTTACTGTGTGGTAGGTAGGCCCTGTGCAAGGTGTCAGAGATAATGGAGGAGGAACATTCTCTGTCCTGGAAGCATTTGTGGGGAAAATGATCATAGTATCATTTGATCAGTACTATTTTAGGGAATAGTACTGATCTCTTTTAGGGAAGTGGTGCAATGCCTCCAGCATCTGACTGCTAACCAGAAAGTTGGTGGTTCAAACCCACCAGCTACTCAGCAGTAGGAAGATGAGGCAATCTACTTCCATAAAGATTTACTGCCTTGGAAACCCAGTGGGGGTCACTATGAATTGGAATCAACTCGATGGCAGTGGGTTTGGTTTTGTGTTTCTTGGGGTTTATTTTAGGGAAAGCACAGGCGGTGATGGGCAGGAGGCAGGCTGGTCAACTGGGAACTACAAGGGGGCATTGAGGAGAGGATTGGGGAAAGTTCTGGTCCTGGCAGGTCAGGTCCTGTTCTCTAGGGTTACAGCTACAGAGAGCTGTCAGCAGGGATTTCTGCGGACCTGCTGCTAGCTTGGCAAGTGAAGATAGCCCCTTGCTCTGAATTTCAGAGTGGTAAAACGGACAGTTGCCAAGGCACAGTAGGCTGTCGTTCCCTGCACAGGAGTGGATTTCTGTGTCAGACTTGTGCACATACGTAAAAACTTAATGAGTCCTTTCACTAAAAGATACTTGGGTGTTTTGATTGTTTTTCAAAGCTTTCTGACTACAACCTAGGATACATACTAGAGTGTATACAATTGAAACTAAAGAATTTGTTGAAGTGTACACTTCTTGCTAAAGATCTATGCTACACATGCTGATATTATTAAATTCTGTATCATTTATTTAAAATGCTTATCCTGACTCAACTAAATTGATTTCTTAATCCTCTAATGGGTCACAATCTACTTGTAAAACACTGGCTGACCCCTATTAAGCACACCTGGCAGTGAGGGAGGGCCTAGGAGTTGCCCTCTGGGACAGTGCCCTTTTCTTGGCCGAGAAGGTGAGCAGTTGGACCCATCAACCAGAGGAGCTGCAGGGGCAGTGGGTGGTGTGAGAGCATTGGGGCAGAGTATCCAGTGCTGGAGCGATGGGGGTGTGACCACAATGAGGGGCTACAATGGTTCTATTCTGAGAGGCCACCCCTGCTGGAGAGGTGGACACTGGGAGCAGAGAATGCTGGCTAAAGTCACATCTGGTTTCCTATAAATTGTTACTTATTTTAGGATGTTTTATTTGGGGGGTGGGTTTGTAAGATATTTTTAGGCTTATTAACGTATCAACCACAGTAAAAGGGTATTTGAGAATAATCTTTGCCCACGAACGATTGATTCTGAGGCCTGGGAGGAGCATTTCATAGCATACTGTTCCTAGGGTGGCCCGGTCAGCAGAGCTGAGTGCCAGGCAAGATCTCGTAAGTCTACATTCAGTTTTTGTTAGTTTTGCAGCGGGTCAGGATTACCATGAATAACATTAAATGAGCTCCCTCACGCCTAGTAATTCGGTGTTAAGAGCGTTTTGGTTCCAAACACTGATCCTGCTCCACCCCTGACAGCTGTATGCTGGATCGTAGGTGCTGCCAGGGCAACACAGATGTGCACAGGTTTGGCAAGAGCCCGCCAGCCAGCGGCCTCCTTCCTGTCACTACCCTCTGCTGCGAGAGTGCCGGCAGTCTTGATGGTTCTGCAGCGCCACCTTGTGAGCAGCTCTGGTGCACCTGCTCCACCTGATTTGCTTTAGAAAGTAAAGGCCCACTGGACCAGGGCTTCTCAGGTGCATCGCAAGTGCCAGGCTGGCTGTGGCAGGATCACCAGGCGATGTCATGAAGAATGCAGATGCAGGTTAGGTAGGAAGCTTAGGGGCCAGCTAATGAGGTAGAACAATTCAGAAAAGGAGAGTGAGGATGATTGTACAACTCAAAGAATGTAATTTGTGTCACTGAATTGTACTTGTAGAAATTGTTGATTAGGTGTATGTTCTGCTGTATATGTTTTTGACAACAAAAATAAATTATTGAAAAATAATGATACAGATTCCCTGGTCCCACCCCTGGAGTAATGGTTCCAAGTAACGCTGGTCTGCCTGTAGTGCATTAGGGAATGTTGCATTAAAAAAGATTAAACCTGCCTCTTTGCCGCAGGACTTCAGGGGGCCCTTAAGGTGCTGAGCATTGTCTTATCTCTTAACTGGACCTTTCAGGCTTGAGGCACAAGCAGGGTCCCATTTCCCATTGTGTCCCCAGGCTGGGCTAGTAGGCCTACGTCAGCAGTGACTGAAGTGAGTAAATGACAAATACTGTTTTAACTTAGAACTATTGGATTTCGTTTATTGTAGATATAAGGGGGTGGGCATTTTAGATTTCAGCTTTGATGAGCCTGTGGACTAACAGCTAGAAGAGAGAGAGAGCTAGTTGTATGAGCCCCTGGTTCACAGCCCAACCAGCATTTCATACCATACTATTCCTGGGGCGGCCCAGTTAGCAGAGCTGAGCACCAGGCGAGATCTCCTAAGTCCACATTTAGTCCCTCACCCGTCCTGGCCATTCCTTTTCTCCGGTGCTCATGTGTTCTAGCACCTTCTGGGGAACTGGACATTTAAAGCAGACCTTTCTGACCTTTCACCTCCTTTCAGGAGAATCCTTTGGCTAGAGAGTAAGACATATCTAAGTAGTGGGTGTTTTAGAATATAAAAGGAAAAAAATACTAAAAGCCTGCATATTCTTGATTGTGGTTATACCTTTGGCTACTTTCAACATAAGTATCCAGTTAGTAACAACAGCAAATGGCTTATTTTCTGATAGAGACCAGGAGGAAGTCCCTTGGGACATTTCTGTTTCATCACAGCCTCTCTTGGGGTTTGTGAATTCATTGGGTCTTAGGGCAACAGGACATGAATGTGCTCTGCTGTTGAGAAGTAAAGCCTTTAGGACCTAGCAGAATAGGGATTGGGGGAAAGGAGAGAACCTGGCCTCCCCCCTAGTGTTGGAGGAATGCATTTCTGTTGTCATCCCCTAGAGGCCAGTGTGGCTGACCTAATTAGTGTTGGAAATGCATGGCTGAGAACAGTTTTAGGTTCTGCTTTTGTTAAACCATTGACCAGTTGTTGGGAGCAAGTTAGTGTGATTTTTCAAATGTTATTATAAATTGGAGACTTGATGTAGGGATAATATGAAAACCCATAAACTGCACAGTTCTTTGCAGCCTGTGTTTCAATACTTGTCACACTGCTGACGGGTCTGACAGTTATTACCAAGTGTGTTTGGGCACTGGCTCCTTCCTGTTTAGTCAGTCCCGTCCGTAGCAGCGCTTCACTGAAACTTGCTCCGTGCCAGGCCCTGTGCTGGTCCTGAGACGTCAGAGATGCCTTGGCACATGCCCATCTTGGAGCAAGTGCCAGGCACTGTTGTAAGGTCTTTGCATGCGTTAGCTCAAGTAACCCTCAAACCCTGTGCAGTAGCACTATTAGTATCCCCAATGCACAGCTGACAAATCTGAGGCCACAAAAGGTTCTGTAACTTCACTTATCCAATGTCACACAGCAAATATGGGGTAGAGCTAAAATCTGAGTCCAGGCAATAACTAAAAGCCTCCCCTTGGCCACTGTGCCTTGTTGCCTATATGTGTGAGGTAGCACTGGCCCCCAGCACAGCATGTGACCCATCACCAAGCACTCCCTGGGAGTAGTAGGGTCAGGAGTCCCCCTCTTCACACCCCTACAGGCCTCTGGGCTGTGAGCTCTCATCTTTCCACACTGATGCTCTGTGTCTGTGCTGCCTCCTGCCAGGAAGCTGATCAGTATCTCCTTTGGGGACCTGAACCCGTTCCCCCTGCGCCAGATCCGGAACCGGCGCACCTACCACTTGGAGAAGGTCCGGCTGGAACTGACAGAGCTGGAGGCCATTCGCGAGGACTTCCTACGTGAACGGGATGCCAGCCCTGACAAGGGTGAGCTGGTCAGCGATGAGGAAGAGGATACCTGAGTGGACCCCCGTATACACCAAGACGCTGCTTTTCTTGTCTTCACAACCAAAGTGTGCCAAAAGGGTGAACTGCAGAGATGCCTCTGCTCATTCAAAGCCAGAATGTAACACTGTGGCGTCCGGACAGCTGCTGGGCAGATGTCCAGAGCCATACTGCACTTTTTCATTTTCCACTTGCGGTGGGGAGCAAATCTGTTTACAGCCATCTTCATGTGATGGTGTTTTGGTGACATATATCATGGTCATAATTTCAGACTGAATGGTAAACCGGCAGGCTTAGCAGTTGGTTATCTTCAGGAGCCCATTTAGAAAACCTTACTTTGCTGGGCATGTCTGTATGTTTCTCTCCTGTATGTAGCAGGCAGCCATGCACATTTTTAAAATGCACTGCATAGGCTGTCCGCTATGGTCAGCCCTCCTAGGACAGAGTGTGGCTGCTTCAGGTGGCACAGATCAGTGGGAGAAAAAGGGACTTTCTTAGAAAAGCAGACACATTCCTTGTTCAGAAATGGCCTGTGTATAAACCCACCAGCCTTCCTCTGGGCCCTGCCAGGTGTGCCCCAGTTCTGGAATAGCCTTTGCTCTTTCATGCACATCCTTTCAAAAAGTGACTCCCAGCTTGTCTGGGGAGGCCTGGCCCTCCAGACTCGCCACTCTTACTTCTCATTGCCTGCTGGTATTCAGCTGTTCTGCCCGCAGCTTGCCCTCTAGGGGTACATCTCCATGAGGTTCTATGGAAAGCTCTTCTTTCTACCTGATGATTGATTTATAGAAGTCATTCTCCAAGTATGGGTGGGATTTCCCTTCAGTGAACTGTGGATCATCACACTGCCAAGCAGGCTTACCCTTGGGCTGGCCTTAGTTGGAAGGACAGAGGAAGCTTTTCTGGGGGGTGTTCACAGGCAGTGAGTGAACATCCAACACCTTAACCTCCTGGGGAAGGCTGGTACTCCTTGGTTTCTCCTTCACCTGACTGGGACTGAGGGAATGGAGAGGAGGCCAGCTGCAGGTGCCCAGGGCTGAGAAGTGCCTTTCCTTGAGGCCAGAACTTTGGTAAACTGTCAGACATGTGCCTTTCTGAAAGTATCCTTGTTGTCCCCAAGCCGAGTCTTCACTTTGTGGGCTTAATGTGATCTCCAGCCCATCAGGTTGCCCAGGTGAGGACTCTCAGAGCACTTCCTTTTTGAAGCCCTGGAGAGAGGCCTTGAGCAAGGGAGGTTATTTTTGCTTGCTCACTCTGTGGACCACGCCTGATGTGTACATGCTGTTTGCTAGCATAGTATTATTTGAATATAAAAGAAACAGTTTTAAATGGAATTCTTTACACTACCTGGAAAAAATTGGAAATAATCCTGAGCTGATGTTAAGCACACTCTTGAGAACTGAAGCAACGTAGTTTCAAGAAGTACTTTTTTTTTTTCCATGTATATGTTTTTTCTATTATTTTTTAGTCACCCTTCCAGCAGTATGATAGCTAAGTTGGTATCTGAACATACTAGACTGAGCTCAACTTTTCTGTCTTTAATTAAATCAGTTACTTTTTATGACTATGTAGAGGGAACTGGTCTAAATATATAGCCAAAAGCCTATCTCTTTTCAGGTATCAAAAGTGTGTTTTATAATTTGTTTGTTTTGGCAAATGGTTGTCTGAGATCTGACTTCTTAAAAGAAGTTGCCTTCTGAGTGGGTTCCTCTCCAAGGTAGGCACTGTAGTCTCTACTGTTCACAGACCTGTATGGGACTCATCGTGGCTGCTGGGACCCCTGCCTCAGCCCATCCCCACCTGCGTTGGGAAAGGACGGCTGTGGGCCTAGGGGGCACCTGCTGAGGAGGTACCAGAGGAATGCGGTGGGGTTCCAGCTTCCCTCCATTTTTGGTTTCCAAGTTGATTTCTTCCCTGGAACATACCAGCCCAAAGTGCTATGTGCAGGGGTTAAAGTGCTCCTTTAGGAATGAGTCGTTTGCCCTGAGATGCAGCATCTTAAAAGCACCTGAATAGCCTGCCTGGTGTGGCTGGACCTCCTTGTTTCTGCCATTCTGAGTGGCAGCTGTGTGTCAGTATTTCCAGGGCAGTTATTACCAGTGGCAGCAGGCATGAGAGCAGGAAGGGTCCTGCAGGAATAGACTGGGGGCACTTGTTGGAGGAAAAGTGCTGATGAGTGGATGCTTGGCCTGGTTCTTGTTTGGGGACAGAGGGTAGGGCTGGCTTTTCCCTCCAGAGCTGTAGGGTCTGTTCCCACTAGTTGGGGCCACCATTTCTCCCCTTATGCCTCCATATCTTCCAGTGTCCCTGGGACCCCAAACCTCCACTGGCTCCCATAGTGAGCTCCCCTCCTATCAGGTGCTGCTGCAGCTGCTACTCCTCCAAATCTTTGCTGAACACCAGCCCATCACCCCTGCAGGATGGGCCTCCCCAATTGAGCTGGGAGTCCCAAAGGGCAGCCTACACGCCCACCTGCCCCTGCCAGGGCCTAGGGCAGCCACTCTCATCATGCAGCACAGCTATTGCCAGTTTATAAGTAGATAGGTTTTTGTTTTTTTATGGGTTGAACATCTGTTGATACTTTTATATATTTCCACTACAGTTTATATTTTTATAGGCTATTTTATCAAGGTTTTTCTAGATTATGTAAATTTACTTTATGTAACAAATTCTTATTTCGTGTGCATGACCTTGTGTGTATTTATGCAAACCAGAACTCTTCAGTCGCTCTTCACTTCCATGCCATCTTTTACCTCTAGCCTTGACCATCACCGACTCACTTGTGTGTGAGCCCCCATCTGACCCCAGGTAGCCTTGGTGCTACTTGTAGTCATTCTGACAGCTGTACAGTAGCAGCCAGGATGCTTGATTGCTGGAAATGACTCTGGTCTCAACTACGTATCATATAGGAAGTATTCTAGGCAAACATTCCCAGTTTAAAAAAAAAACTGAATGTTTGTGTTACTGCACCAATCCCAACCCCATGCTTTGTGCAGTGTTGTCTTCCTACATGTGACCGGACTCTGGGGCAGCTGGGCCTGCCTGGGGAAGTCTTTGTGGGGGAGGTAGGACACGGCATCGCATGTGTGCCACTGCACACTCCCACTCACGGGAGTACTGCCAAGGGACTCTCTCCTTTTATATTGCAGCAGCTTCTGCACTGATCTTTTAAAATTGTATTACTAAAGGAAGAAATAAACTACTAATTTGTATAACATTCTGGCTTGAAATGCAGTTGTAGTCACTTGTTGTGATGGAGCTCAGCCCCGGGGCCTTGACGGGTAGGCTAGGGTGGATGGGACATCTCTCTGACCTGCCCACCTGGGGTTTCTGGCTGTCCCTGCCCTTGGTTTCCTCTAAGATGAGTAGGCCACAGGATGGTAGGCACCCCTTCTGTCACCATCTGTGACATGCCCTGCCTGAGTCATGGGCTTGTTTGCCTCCTGCCTGAGCTGACAGCTCAAGCCCAGCTGCTACTGGGGATACCCAACCACCCACCCCCAGTAATCGGAAAAACACATGAGAATGATTAAGACCAAATGTCTTTCCACGAGGAGGAGGGAAGGCAGCTCCAGTGTAGATTCCCAGACAGAACCTCTGTCTCCTCTTGGGGCACAGATTCAGTGCAGTTGGAGTGTTCCTGGGGTCACAGCCTAGCAGTGGCAGATTGGGACTGGGACACAAGCGTTCTGCCCCCAGCCCAGCATTGGTCAGGGGCTGGAAACTTCCTTGTCCCTGATAAAGGGGTTGCCACCACAGGCAGTTTTGGCTAAGCCCTGGGAAGCCATTACTCAGAGGTGGGTCCCCAGGGCCTCCTTGAGCCAGTCAGGCTGCTGCAAACACAGACAGGAAACAAGCATGACGCTCCTCCACCCTCAGATGATAGTGGGGTTGGTGGTGCTTGGGATCAGCTCAGCTGACCTCTGAAAAAAGATTGCCCTCTGTAAATACATGTGAGGGGCCCGTTCCCGGCCACCCTCTTATCTGGTCAAAGGGGTCTGCTGCTGATATACCTCAGAACTTAGGGGCAGGAGATGGGGCTCAAAGCTTAACTTGGGCCTCTGTCACCAGGGTGTATACCCTTGGGCTGGTCATTTCCCTCTTAGAACCTCAGTATTCTCATCTGAAAATGGAGTATGCTGATGGTTAAATAACATTATGACTTGGTAGTAAAGAGCAGCTGGACACACCAGCACTCCCATGACCACTGGAGGGCAGCTCCCTCCTGCTTCTACCCCCTGCCATCCCTCCACAAAGGGGCAAGTTGGGACAGATTGGTTGCTGATACTATTTCTTGGTTTTAATCCCCAAGGAGTGATTTTCAGTGACTCCTCATTCCACCACGCATACCCAGCCCTCAGTGCTGGCCACATGGGTCAGGGCCCTCAAGCCACCATATGCACAAATCCACAGCCACCATTCACAGTACGTTCTGTTCTGTAAATGGCCTATATCATAGAATAGAATGCACTTGGTCTCCCCTGGAACTGGCTCTGGACCTCTCTGAACCTGTCTTTCCTCCTCAGAGAAGAGGAATAACACCTTCTAGGAGCAGGACTTTTGAGGATATAAAAGATCCAGAGTTCAAGGTTCAGAGAGGTTATCCGGTAGATATAGGCCCAAGGAGGCAATGGCCACTCCCTGAGGGAGGGGAGGACAGTGTCTAGCCCTTTCCTCATTCTCCATATCCCAAGCTGACCAACCCCCCAGGGCTGGTCTGTTGGGGGGTGCCACACCATCTACCCCCTACCATCTGCAGATGCAGGGTTTAGAACACTTGAAAGCACCTTCATGCTTGTCCGCTCCCTGGCAACCTGGGGGTAGATTGGGCTGCAGACATCACCCATGCTCCCTGCCTCCTGACTAGCCCGGGCTCCTTCCTGAACCCTCAGCACAAAAGCCCCACCAAGCAATGCAAGTAACCCTGTGCCCATTGGACAGATGAGGGTGGGGGTGGGGGCAAACAGCCAGACTGTGCTGGAATCAGACCAATCCTCGCTCCAGGAGCTGCTGGGCCAAGGCATGAACCGTCCTTGGCACTCCCCAGCTCATGTGGGCAGATCTGCCTGTCAGGGATAGGCCTGCAGACCTTACAGGCCCTTCAGTTTTCTCATCTGGGCCTTTTAGGCTGGCGTGTTCACCATGATCTGGCTCCATGGAATTAGATTTTCCAGGTGGGGAAGGGGCTATGGGTGAGCAGGTACCAAGCAGCTGGACCATAGAGCTTTGGAATCTCAGGCAAAAAGCTGGGGTTGGAAGTGAGGAAGGGGCCACCATGAATTGTAGCTGAGACCAGCCCAACCCTGTCCTTGAGCATGAAGATGAAAGAAGGGGATAAGTGGAGACCAAGAGGGATGTGACTGTCTAGTCGGCTCCTTCCTCCACCCCATCACCCTGGAGGTCACCAGAGGTGAAGAATGCTCAGATGGTGCCCCCTCTCCCCTCTTGGTATAGATGATTGAACAGACTACAGCAGAGTGGACCAAGGAGTCCCAGACCCCATCACCCCCTGCCAGAGGGGGTCTAGTGACTAGAGACAGGCCTTGCTGCTCAGGGGCTGGGGAGGGGGAGGTGGTCAATCCCTGCAAGACGCTCAGGTCTCTGAGGAACTGAGTGGAGGAGTAAGGGGAAGAGCTACGGGGGCTGAACAGGAGGTTCAAGAGTGTGGAAGGAATGTGAGCACAGACCACCACCCCTGGGGCTATGCCAAGCTGTTCCCTCGACCCAGACAACCTGCCCCCCCACCCCCATTATCTACTTGAGACTCTGCAGATACCCATTTCTCCATCTGAACCCCCAGCCTTCCGTGCCTACATGAGGCTCCCTTCTCTTTGAGTGAATTAGTTTGCTCCTGTCACCCCTGCTAATCTGCCCAGTAAAAGATCTGCTGCTGAGGCACTTGAGAGGTGGAAGTTTGGGCGGTAGACGGACAGGTAGGGGAAAGAGTTTCTTGAAATTCCCCAAATCCAAGATGAAGCCAGGCTGTGGTTTGGACCAGTAGATGCTCATTTATGTATTATACTAATAATAATTATAATAAGTGTTACTCAAACTGTTAGAATAAAAAAATACCTTTTCTGAGGGGATGGGGTCCCCAGCCTGCACAATGGGCAGGAGGCCCGGGGTTAGCACCATTGGGGCACGAGGGCGGGGCTCCGCCGCAGCCCATGGTGAGGCGCTGAGGTCCGTGCGTCGGTTGGTTGGTAGGTTAGTCGGTCTGTGTGTCAGCGGCGGGCGACCCGCTGATGGCCACGGGAGGGAGCCCCGCGGCCGGGTGGGGGACACGAGCGGCAGCACTGGGTGCGCACAGTGGGCAGCTGGCAGCGGCCAAGCAGGCGCAGCGTCTCACAGAAACCAAAGGACAGGCGATCCCGCTCGCACCCTGGGGGCGGAAGAGGGGATGGGGGAGTGTCAGGTTGATGGGTAGGAGGAGCCAGCCTGTGCAGCAGCCCTAACCCACGCCCCACCGGCGTAGTGCCTAAGGCACTTGACTGCTAACCAGAAGGCTGGCGGTTCAAACCCACCAACCACTCCTCAGAAGGAAGGTTGGGCAATCTACTTCCATAGTGATACCACCTCGCAAACCTAAGGAGGGGTCGCTATGAGTCAGATATGACTCGACGGCACATAACAACCACCACCATCTACGCTGGGGTGCAGGCTTTCCCTGGGCTTTTACCTGTGGCATCCTGGCCAGTCCTCCAACAGCCTTAAAGGGACTATGGCAGCCACTACCAGCGCACAGGGCTCCCAGTGTCTGGAGAGCTCCCCCTGCATCTGGAGGTGCGTGTCTCCAGCTGCTGTGGCTCTGCCCCACCGCCCTTGACCTGGGTTCACCTGGACATTTAAGACGCAGTGCATGGCTCAGGTTCCAGAGGTTTCCTGAGACCTCACTCCTAACCACCTCGGGTGCCTATGAGACACCAAAGAGGCTGCCCTGGGTGGTGGTCCCCACCCTACCTCCATCTCTGCTCACCCTGAGCCCTACCTCACAGGTCCTGGCACAATTTAGGTCCCTGCCAACTCACAGCAGCCCCTGCCCCCACTCCTACCACCTCCCCCTTGCCCAAGTGCACCTGTCCCACCGGACCTCCCTGACCACCTCCAGCCACGTAGGCCTTACTCAGCCTCAGCTTCCAGGTCAAAAAAGCAGAACAGAATACCATTGACCAGGCCACCCCCTTTCTCCCTCACTTCTCAGCTGGGCACCGAAGCCCCGAGATCAAGTGAGGCCCCTGGCAGGGACCAAGCCCAGGCTCTCAGGGAGGGAGAGAGATTGCAGGCTATGCTTGTCAGACTGAGGCTTGGCCCGGTCCTCCTACCCTGTGGTTATCGGAGCTATTTTTGGAAAGTGGCTTGCTTCCAGCCTCCCGACTTTGCTCCTGTTGCTGCTGACAGCCCCCAGCTGCTGCCGGTGCCCTGCTCACTGCAGCCCAGACCTCTCCGAGAGAGGCAGGAGAGCAGCAGCAGCAGCAGTCCCTGGTCTGGGACATCCCTAGGGGCTTGCAGAGGGCACGAGGCAGCAGGCAGGTCTTGGGCTGAAGTTTTACTCTTGAGGGCGCCTCCCATCCTAGCTGTGGAGTCAGCTCCACCCTACACATCTGCAGACCTGTGTTCTAGCCCTGCTGTGTAACCTCGGGCAAGCTTCCTAACCCTTTATGGTCATAATGGCCTCCTCCTTCACAGGCAAACGGATGTGGATGTGGTGATGCTGTCAGCTGCCTTACCGGGTGACCACACACCCTGGAGTTTCCAGGCTTTCCAAATACTCCAGTACACACAACCATCAAAAACATCCTGGAAGTTCTGAGCCATCTCCCTAGCTGCCCCTTCACCCTTTGCTGGTGGCAGAAAATTTCTCACGTGGGATGGCTTATAGTCTACCCACCTCATCACCTCACCATGGTCCACTCCCTCTAACCCACCTCTGTCCCAGGAGACCTCGCAAGTAGCGAGCCTTGTGGTCCAGACCTGACCACCCTGATGCTAGACCCAAGGGCCTCAGTTCCTGATTTCTTCTTCAGCACCTAGGGCTGTAACTGCCCAGCTCCTAGGCAGCCCCCTCAGAGTCCCAACAGTCAAGTGCTTGGGGCAGTCAAGTGTTCTCAGGGGCATGCTGTACAAACGGTCAGGGCAGGGCAGGGCAGGCTGGCTCAGTGCTGGTGGCATCTACCCTGGGTCCTAAGGGAAAGGAATTGGAGGCAAGAAGGCAGCAAAACTCTGGGCCTATGTGAGGTCTGCCAAGAAGCCTGTGGCCAATAGACATGGCCATGTTCAGTAAAGGCGAGAAGGCAAACTGGGCAGATCCTGGAGGCTCTGAACACCAGACTGAGAGCCACTGAGCATCCTAGGGATGGGGCACACAGTGAGGAGGCACCAGAGCCACTGTTTTTAAAGCACAGTGCTGAGCCTCTGGGTTCGCTTGGCTATACCCCTGGGGTCAGACTAGCAGACAACCCTGGGCCCTCTCCCTGACCTCAGTGTGGGAAGCAGCAGGAGACTAGCTGGGAGGGAAGCAGCTGGGTTTTTCTGAGGGACTTCCCAGGTGCACTTGTGGTGCTGGGCTCCTCATTAAAGACCTCACTATGCTTTCCTCACACACACACACACACACACACACACACACTGCCAAGGATGGGGGTATCAGCTCCTTTATGCAGAAGGAAGTGGAGGCCCAGAAAGGGAAGTGGAGCCTGAGGCCTCACAGCTGGTGAGGGGAGCCCAGCTGTGTGTTCAGGGCCATGCTGATCCCTGCCCTCAGCACTGCTGGGGATGGCTTGGCTGCAGGAAGGAAGTGTGTGTGTATGTCCAGAGCTACCTCTGGCTCAGGCCCTTCCACCAGGAGGATCCAGCTGGCCAGGAAGCTGCGGGGAGTTGCAGGGTCCTGGAATGAAGGCCCTTCCTTTGACTCCACTGCTCACTGTAGGCAGTCCCCTCTGGCCAGGGAATGGACAGGCCAGGACTACGGATGGGGACTCACCCAGACTTGGCCTTCACACAGCCAAGGAAGATCCCAGGCCTCACTAGGAGGGGTAACAGAGGCCCAGAGGGAAAACAGCTCATGCCAAAGGTCACATAGCAACTTAGGGGCCATGGCTGCTCCCCCTCCCCAGCTCCCTCCATTCTTCCCAAGGCAAAGGAAAGCTGCCTCTGGGTGCTGTGTGACTGGGACCCCACCTGGCCTCCATTCCTAGCACAGCCTCAATGTCTGTGTGGCACCCTGGGGTCTCTCAATTATCTGTGATGCGTGGTTCCTGAGCCCACACCACACATGGAGCTGGCCAGTGCTGAGAGGGGCACTGATTTCATAATACCCTTCCCTACCATCCGCCCGCACCCCCAGCAGAGAGCAGGAGTGTGGAGTGTGGAGCACTTACGTGGGAGCTCGGCAGGCTCGCAGTCCTGAGTACCACATGGCCGGGAGCTCTCCGGCCAGGCCTCGTGGCTACATTTGTCACTGTCTTCCTCAGGCAGCCCTGTCTGGGTGTTGACACACTTGACGAGGCGCCGCTGGACACCACCACCACAGGGGGCTGAACACTGAAGGAGCACAAAGGGGTCAGGACCCTACCTTAGCCAGCGCTCCTAGAGGGGTGTGGAACACCCCTGGGGCAGAGGCAGCTACCACCTCTAAGAAGCCTTCCTGCTGCCCTCTCACCCCTTAATGCCTCCTGAGAGGGGCTGGTGCCTTGGAAGTTCCTGTTCCCAGAGCCCACTTGAAGTTTGGACCAGCAGGATTTGCACCTGCAGGCAGGGTGGAACAGAGGTGGGCAATGGGGGGGGCACAATGGCTCTGAGAGCAAGAGAGGGCCCTCCAGGCCACAGGAGAGTCAGGCTAGGTATGGCGATGCCAGTCCTGCACAGAGGGCTCTGTGATGGAGCCTTGATGCAGAGACATGGTCAGGAACACTGCAGGGCCCAGGTGACCAGGTGAAGCCCTGCAGAGGTGGATGGGCAGTGGAGGGGAGGAAGGAGAAAGCTTCCCCTGCCCTGAGCCAGCCATCCTGAGTCAAGCTTTGCTTTCAGTTGGACTCTGAGGTTTAAAGTCCTGAAACTAACATGTGGCAACATTTGCCACCCATGTGCCTGGTCCTATGCTAAGTGCTTCACTGTATTACTTCATTTAGTCCTCACAAGCTCCTCCCACTAACTGTCCTTATTTCACAGATGAGCAAACAAAGGCCCAGCAAGGCAAAGCAACCTACTCGGAGTCACTCAGCCAACCACGGGCACAAGGACTCCAAGGCCTGGCTCAGGACATGATTCTGAGATCTTCTTGGCTCCAAACAGGCCTGGGAGTGACCGTGGGGGACACAGGCCTGCTAAGAAGGTGTCCTGCTGGCCCCTCTCCCACCCCCTCTGACATGCTAGCCTTTGCTCAGTTGTCTGAACACCCCAAGTTCGTCATCCCTGCCTCAGGACTTTGCACTTGCTGTTCCTTTATCATTGCCCTTCCCAGCACTGACTCCTCCTTCAGGCCTCAACTCAGAAGGCTCCTCCTCAGAAGGCCTTCCCTGCCACTGAAGCACTGTCACAGCCTGTGATAAGTACAGTTACTTTTTTTATCGGTTTCTCTCTGGCCGTTGGTATGCTCCAGCAGGGTGGGGACCTCATCTGGTCAGCACTGTATCTGTAGTCTGATGCAAATTCCACACTTGACAACTCATTGTTTAATGAACAAACGACCTCCCCTCCAGGTGCCCTCTAAATACCTGCCCCAAGTCCTCCACTCACCTGGCCCCAGGGTCCCACCACCCACTGTGTGCAGGGGTGGGTGTTGCAGGGACGAGTGGTGTTGGGTCTTAGTAACTCTTCACAGAGGCCTGGTTCTGGGCAGGTCACCAGACGCTGCTGTTCACCTCCACCACAGGCCTCGGAGCACTGGGAGAGCAGGGAAGGGGTCAAGGCATGGCCAGAGTCAGAGGACACCATCCACCCCATCCTGAACCCCCAGGCCTCACCTCCCTCCAGGAAGAGATGTACCAGCTGAGGCAGGGCTGGGCCCTGCAGAGTCGGCGAGCAGGCGGCTTGGCAGGCCCGGGCTGGCAGTGGAAGGGCCGCAGTGGCCGGAGGTCCCTCGTGTCCACACATTGCACATCCCGCACTGAGGCACCTCCACCACAGCTGCGGGAACACTAGGGGCCAAGGGACAGATAGATATGTGACCACACCCCTGTGTGTGCACACATGCACAACAACCCACGGAGGGACGTGGCAGGGCAGGCATCAGGCCATCCCCCAAAAACCCATTGCTGTTGAGTCGATTCTGACTCCTGGCAACCCCATGTGTTACAGAGTAGAGCTGCCCCATAGGGTTTTCTTTGCTGTCATCTTTATGAAGATTCCTCCTCGGAGCCACTGGGTGGGTTTGAACTGCCAACCTTTCAGTTAGTAGTAGAGCCTAGGCAGAGCCATAAAGAGCCCAAGAGAGACCAGGGCGTTGCAAGGGCTGCCACAGGATTTAACAGATGGAAAGAGAAGGACAAAGGTAAGTCAATGAGAATGAAACTCAGAGGGGCTTAGAAAGTATAGTGAAGAAGATACAGCCAATAGGAGAAGGAGCTTGGAACAGGTCAAACCAAAGAAACAGAGATTCAAAGGTTCAAAAGAGATCGGCAGTTAAATAAAGTACAAATATGCATAGTATGGAGCCTTCCTCTGCCCTTGCTGCCGGCTGCTGCTGATCCCGGAACATAGGCCCCAGAGGCCCCAGGGCTCCCTCCATCCCGTGTGCCCCCAGACCACCTGCTTTGGCTCCATCCTCAGTTCTGCTGCACATCATGCAGCTGGTCATGTCCATACCTTACTCCAGTTGCCTGTGTGCCACATGGCACAGGGCCGCAGGTGGCAGCGGCGAGCAGGCTGGGGCCTGCCAGCAGGGGCACAGTCCTCCTCCTGGCCAGAGCTGCAGCGCACAGGTCTCCAGACAGCACCCAACCCACAGGTGGTGGAGCACTGGGAGGAGAGAGGAGACAGAGGCCTGTGAGGACTGGGCAGATCCTTGCTCCCTCTAGCCCCCTGCAGCCACGAGACTGCCCCACCTCATCAAGGTAAGTGGGACCTCTTGGCCAAGCCAGGGCCTCAGTTTCCTTATTTGCAAAATGAGCTCTTCCACCAGCCTCCCAGGGAGATGGCGAGGATGAAAACTCAAATGCCAGCCTCAAGCAACTAAGCGTCCTTTCTCATAGGGTACACAGGAGGTGTGAGGGGAGCGTGACAAAGCTCACTGCTTCTCAGAATCCTTTGGGAAGAAGTCCCAGAGACCAAACTGCTGGGCAACACTGGGTGAAACCTGCCCTCTCTGGGACTCAGCCTGCTCCTCCCCACCCCCAAATTAGGATCTGAACTGAAAGAGCTCACTCCTCGTAAAGTGACAATCTGGAGGCCTGGGGTGAGGTATGTGGAGTCATTGAGTGGTATAAACAGTTAACACACTCAGCTGCTAACTGAAAGAGTGAATGTTCAAGTCCATCTGGAGATGCCTTGGAAGAAAGGCCTGGAGACCCTACATATGACAAATTAGCCACTGAAAACTTCATAGAATGCAGTTCCATTCTGATACTTGTGGAGTTGTTCCGAGTCAGGGTCAACTCAATGGCAGCTGGCTAAGTGGGGGGTGAGGCGCAGACCCCTGGCAAAGCAGGGGGAGCCACTGAGGGAAAAGTGAAATGCAAAGGTCTTGAGTAGCACCTGCAGGAGCCAGGCTAAGCCTGGGGGAAGCCTGCTGGGGTCAGGCAGCTCTGAGGAGTGAGCTCATCAGTCTGGTTTCACAGGCCCTGAGCGTGGGGCTGGGCCCAGGGTCAGATAAGGAAGCCTCCCCCACACACAGAGCTGTCCCACTGTGCTCCCCAGCTCCAAGGGCATACAAGCTAGTGTGTGAGGAGAAGGGCCCCTGAGGCTTCCCAACAGAGGGGGCAGTCTTGCCAGCATGCCTAGGGCACTCACTAAGGGTTTTGGATCTGCTTCTCCCAGCTGCCCCTCACGTGTGCCTATGCTCAAGGGTGGGCCTCCGGTAACTATGGGGAGGAAGTGGGAGGGGAGCTGTTGCATTGTGGTAAACTGTGGTCAATGTCATGAGACAAAGTATATGTGAACTGCTGTATGGAAAGTGAATTTGCTCTGTAAATCTTCACCCAAATCACAATAAAAAATAAATAAATGAAAAACTACAAACAAAAGGGTGGGCCTCGGGGGCTTCTCTGCAGAGGCAGAGGCAGATGGGCTGCTTTGCTCTGGCCTACTGCTCAGGTGGGTAACCGAGGTCTGACAGGTCAGTAAATTGGGCTTCTAGCCCTGAGCACTTTCAGGACTTGACTGAGCCAGGCAATGCTTTGTCCACCTCACAGAGTCTCCATTCACCATTGTCTGTTAGTTCCCTAATCTCAGGAATCCCTGCACACCCTAGAGGCAGGAGACAGGGCTTGTCCTGCTCATTTCCACAAGAGGAAACTGAGTCACCAAAGTGCTGCTCACACTGCCACATACCCTGACACCCATGCCACTTGCCTCACTCCAGTTCCCCACTTCCCAGCTGGCATTCTTGGCAGCAGGCAGATTTGTGGGATGCCTTTCTTCATCGGCCGGGTGGGGGTCCAGAGGCTGGGTCGCAGGGGCTCTGCTGCTGCTGGCAAGACTGTCCAGAGTTGGCATGGACAGCAGCACAGTACTCGGGGGCGCCTCGGGGCCAGGGGGCTTAGGCTGGCCTGTGGTCCTGGGGCTCAGGGTGGTCACCCAGGGTGTTTCCTCTAGGCCAGACAAAGCGGTCGGAAGGAAGGCCCCTAACATTGCCGGTGTCTGCAGCTCCCGTGAAGCCAGTCCTGTCGCTGAAAGGGTGGGAGTCTCCGGCTCTAGGGAGCTGTTGCTGACCAGGGTCTCTGGCAGAGTGGCTGTGGGAGGAGCGGGAGGGAGAGCCGCTCCCACAATGTCAAGCCATCGCTCACTGTCCACAGCCCCCAGGCCACCCTCTGTAGCTGGGTCCCAGGCCATAGTCCCTTGTGTCCACAGCTCCAGTACCTCAGGAGTAGGAGAAGAGTGGGTGGTATTGATAGAGGGAAAAGGGGGCAGGGTGGAGTGGGGTCTCTGGGGCACAGGGGGTGCTCTGTGGCCTAGAGCCTCTTCTTCATCCTCAGAAACCTCATTGGTCCTCTCCCACCACAGAGGGGGCGGCTGGCTCTGGCTATCCTCCCCCTCTAGGAATTCATTCTGGCTCCCAGGGGCAACAGGCATCCCCATGCCACCAACTGAAGGAGGGGGCCAGGGCAAGCTAGGGAGCCCAAGGTCCGGGGCCCTGATTGGGGCCTCTTCTTCAGACAAGAAATTGGCCAAGGGGTTCCCTGGGGCCTGCTCTAAGGGTGGGGGCAAGGAGTGGCTTGCCTGGCTAGGCCAAGGGGTAGGGGACCAATCTCCCAGTCCTCCCTCCTCTTCAGCCCCAGGAGGCTCTATCGCAGGTAGTGGGGTGCTCATGGGGAGCTCAGCAGGACTGCTTGGGGGTGGGGGCACGTGTTCCCCTGTGCCTGCCAGATTTGGGTCTGGTTCCTCAAGGGGCTCATAGGACAGGTCCTCGTGGAAGTTAATGAAATTATAGTCATAGTAGAAGTCGTCGACAAACACGGGCCCCGCAGGGCCAGGCTCCAGGTCCTCCTCTGCAATGGCATTGCCCATGCTCGCTGGCTCAGGTGTTGAGGAGGGCACAGGGCGTGGGGCCAGGCGGCGGGGGATGAATTCCACCTCATTGAAGAGCTCTCGGCTGGAGGCACCACTGCCTGAACCTTCTGGGCCCAGCATGTCCAGGGGCCTCAGGCAGGGAGGCAGAGTGCAGGCGGCCTCACTTGCTGGCCGCTGGGCCTCATCACAGGGGATACCAGTGTCATTGGTGCAGACGACACTTCGGTGGTGAGTGCCCACCCCACACGTCACCGGGCACTGCAGGGGGAGGCCAGGGTGAGGGGCTGGGACATGGCAGGGTAACCTGCCCACTGCCAGACAGCAGAGGCCTCAGCCAGCCCACTCTGGCCTTGCCCAGCTCAGGACCCTGGCTTATTGCTGTGACTGCCAAGATATCCTAGTCCCTGAGGCTTTAGGGGGAGGGGCTGGATCTAGGGATACCCTAGCCTCCCGCTCACCCAGGTGCCAGGCTCTGTGAAGTCCCTATGAAGGCTCTTTCTGCCTCCCTGGAGCCCAAGACAAAGGTCGAGCTGGGGGTGGCCCCCTCCCATCCCAACACTCACCTGAGACCAGTTCCCCACTGCCCAGGTGGCAGGACAGAGCACGTCACGGTTGCAAGGGGTTTCGGTGGGAGGCCGGGAGAGGTGTTCACAAGCAGGTAGCTCCAGGGCACTCTGCTCGTCCAGCCCCACGCTGCGGATGCAGAGCACTGTCCGGCGGGAGATGCCCCCAGGCCCACAGGAGCGGGAGCATGGCTGCCACTCGCCTGCCCACCACCTGGCAGGAGGGCACACAGGTGACAACATCGGCTCAGCAACTCACTAGGAGGGCAGGCTCTCAGGGTTTGCGCAGGGTCAGGTCTGAGCTCTGGATGATTCCTGGAGCTCTAAGCCCAGGTCGGTGCCCTGCCCCCAAAGCCTGGCAGTGTGGCATCGTCCCCATTGCCAAAGAGGCCTGGGTTCAAATCCTGCCACCCTCACCCTAGGGGTCCTGGGCAAGATCCAAGACTTGTTTCCACATCCAGGGCCCCAAAGAGGAGGTGATCTGAGGGAGCCCAGGCTGGGGTGGGAGGCAACCAGGGGCTGGGGCTTCAGTCTTGGGCAGAAAGGCCAAGAGCCCGCCTTGCTCTCCTCTCCTCTGATGTGGAGGTTGTGGCAGGACACGATCATGATGCCTGGGAGTAGGGAGCAGTGGTTGGGGTGGAGCTCACCGAGCTGGGCAAGGGTCCTCACTACACTTCCTCTGATGGTCATCAGGCCTGTCCAGGGGGTCACAGTGCCCCTCGTCCACAGGCCCAGCTTGACGCTCAGCACAGTACACACTCTGCCTCTGCATACCTGGGGAGGCCAAGGGGTCAGTGTGGGCCTGGCACCCAGGATGCTCCCTGCCCAAGCCATCCCAACCTGATACTTGACCACGCCCAGGGGCCTTCCCAGAACAGGGATGTTCAAATGCCTCTGTCCCAGATTCCTGATACTGAGATTCCTGGATATTGAAGGTCAAAGATGGGGAGATTGAGGGGCAGAGAGAGGGAACTGAGGGAAGGGAGAATGAGGGTTAGTCAGACTGCTGTAAAAACCCACTGTCATTGAGTTGCTCTTGACTCATAGTGGCCCTATAAGATAGGGAGCAACTGCCCCACAGTTTCCAAGGCTGCAATCTGTACAGAAGCAGATTGTCACATTTCTCCCACGGAGCTGCTGGTGGGTTCAAACCCTCAACCTTCCAGTTAGCAGCTGACCAGTGTTCCACTAGACTCCTTCAATCAATCATATGTTTTATAGTTAAAAGGAAGCGTAGCAGCTGGGTGGGAAAATCCTTGTCACATCCTGCCTCCCTCCTCCCAGCTCCTGCTGCCTTGGCCTTCTCTTCCTGAGAACAGGAACCCAGGGAGCAATAGGCTCTGGGCTCCTCAGCAGAGGCTGGGGGGCCCCAGAGAGGACCCCTGAGCAGCCTGTCCTCCAGGCAGGAGCTAAAGGAGGGAAATGAGCTCACCCTGACAAGTGCCTTCAGGTAAGGGTATGGAAGGGAGCCAGATCTTCATAATGGAACAGAGACACGAACCCAAGACCTGACACAGCACAGCAAGGAATATAGAAGGGAGAGCTAGTGACTTTCTGAAGGGAGAAGGTTAACAGCTGAGGCATACTCAGTACCTACCATGTGCTTTACCTGCCTCATCTCATTTAAACTCCCAATTGCTCTATGAGACAGAGGCTATTGCTATTCCCATTCTACAGATGGGGAAATGGAGGCTCAGAGAAGGAAAGTTCCAAGCTCATGGTGGCCCAGCAAATAAGAAGGGAGCTAGGGAATGAGGCCGGGCCACTCTGTGTCTGCCCCCCTTCTCACCTGTGCCACAGGTGACTGTGCACTTGGTCCAGGGCCCATAGTGCCAGGAGAACTCGGGCGGCTGGATCTCGCCTTGGCCATCCACTTCCCTATGGATGGTGTATTCATAGCGCACCCCAGGGTTGCTCTCCTGGAAGAGTAGCTGGGGAAGGCAGGTGGGGCCCCATGAGCACAAGGTCTCCTCTCCATCTGCCTGGGATCTGCCACCCAGAGTGACCACCCTAAAGGATCTGACTCCAGCCACCTCTGAACACCATGAGGATATTTTAGAGACAGGAAAACTGAGGCAGAGGCCTGAATATTAGAGCCAGACTCAGAGCCAGGCTCTGTGATTGAGCCAGGGCTTACACCCTGCCATGGGGAGCTGGGCCCGAGAGGCAGGCACCTGGATCCAGACAGGCTCGGCAGTGGGGCCTGGGGACGTGAGGTTCTCCCAGTTGCCTGTGCGTGCATATGTGAAGGTGGTGCCCGCCACCTGGTAGTCCCCGTTCCACTGGATGGTCCAGCCGCCGTTGAGAAAGTACTTATTCGGGTCCTCACTCCGCAGGGCCAGGAAGTTGGCGGCCTCAGCCACCTCCTCAATGCGGATCTCACGTGCACCAGCTGGGATCAGACCCACATCCACATATCCTGTTGTGAGGGAGTTGTGCAAGGGTCTCATGGGTGTGAGGGGTGGCTATCCCCCACTGTCTTCCTACTCCTCTCTTCCCACTTTCTCCTGCCCCTTCATGCCTAAGATTCTGCCATTAGCTTCAGCATCCATCCCAAAAGGCACATGCTTATAATCTCTCCTGTCACCAAAACCTCAGAAAAACTCAAATCCTGATGATCGATGCTCTATCAATCTTTCCCTGGAGGCCTTAGCTGGCCCTTCCCTAGTCTCCTTGTCACAAGGCTCCTTGTCAGACCCAGGGGCCAGCATGACCTTTCTGAAAAACCAAACCGAATGGAACACTCCTAGGACATCCTTCCCACCCCCACATGGCCTTTTCTGATTCTTTCACTTCGGGAGCATCCACCACGTGCCTGGCACTAATCTAAGCAATTTACATATGTTAACTCAAGTGTACAAACCCTATGAGGTAGGTAATATTCTTATCCCTATTTTATGAGGCACACAGAGATTGAGTAACCTGCTCAAGGGTGCTGCTGGGATATGAACCACGCTTCAGGGTCTATGTTTTAACTGCATGTGTACAGCATCTCTGGGACAAAATCTAAGCTTCTTGGCTGGCTTCAAGGCCCCCACGGTCACCCTACCTTCCCTAAAGGCCCCCAGACAGAGCACACTTTTCTTGCCTACAGGCATTGGCACAGCTGTTTTTTCCCTCTGGAACACTCCTCCCTATCTCCTCCCTATCTGAGTCCATCATTATTCAGCTAAACTTCTGCCTCCTCCAGGAAGTGTTCCCTGACCTCCCCAGGTCAGGACCTTCCTCAGTGCTCTCCTAGCCCCCGAGGCCTCTCTCTACTGCATTTGTCACTAAGGGGATCACTGTTCTGTCACACTGTCAGACTATGAGTTCTTCACCTCCATGTCCCCATCACCTACCATAGAGTTGACATTAAGCAATGTGCAGAAAACAGACCCCAAGGCCAGGGAGTAGGGCTGGGGGAGAAGGGGGTGGTTTCTGAAGTTTTGTAAAGATAGTACCCCACTAAAAGTGTCAAGAACCACCCACAAGCCTGGCTGGCCCAGCATGGGTCCTTGGGGCAGGAGGGCTCCCATGAGGACAACCTGGGTGGAGGTAACCCTCATTCCTGCAAGGGGCCTGGACCAGCCAAGAATTGCTGCTTCCCATCTCTAGACTGGGAGGGGATCACGGGGCTAAGGGGATCATGGGGCTAAGGGGAGGGGCTTGGCACAGATGGGAAGGGGCCACCAGGGAGCAGAGCACACCCACCCACCAGCTATCCCACCGTACCAAGGCCCTCAGCCTCCTCAAAGGTCCCGCTCACAGTGTGGCAGGTGGAACCATTGCCGTGGCACACACCGCAGCGGTCCTCTGTGGCACCCGAGTCGATCTCAAAGTCACAGCCGACATTCTGTAATACACAGGGAGGAGAGGCCCTTGTGCTGGGCCACCAGCCACCAACCCTCTCCCATCCCCAGCCCCAGAGGCCTACCAGGGTCTTGAGGACAAAGATCTGGAATAGGGGTTGGGAGCCCTTGGCTCTGGGTCCTGACCCACCACAGTTGTGCCATTTGACCCCAGGTGAACCCTTCTCCAAGCCTCAGTTTCCTTACATGGGAAATGAGGAGATCAGTCTGTACCTTATAGGTATGTTGGGGAGATGACATGGAATAAGAGATGGGAAAAGTTTTATAAAAGGCAGGCAGGGGAGTTGGGATGCCATGAGCTTCTCATCAGTGTGTTGTTCATGGATTTCCCAGAAGCAGGATTCAAAGTTAAAGACACCTGGGGTTACTACCTTCTCTCTTTATCCTCCTCTGAGCCCAGTTCTCTAAGTCCCCAGTGGCTTCACTGCTTGGAAACCAAAACCCAAACCCAGTGCTGTCAAGTCAATTCCAACTCACAGTGATCCTACAGGACAGAGTAGAACTGCCCCCTAGGGTTTCCAAGGCTGTACTCTTTATGGAAGCTGTTGTTGTTGTTGTTATGTGCCGTCGAGGCAGCCCCGACTCATAGCGACCCCTCCTTGGGTTTCCGAGGCAGTATCACTATGGAAGTAGGATTGCCCAACCTTCCTTCCAAGGAGTGGCTGGTGGGTTTGAACCGCCAGCCGTCTGGTTAGCAGGCAAGTGTCTTAGCCACTATGCTACCAGAGCTCCCCTTTATGGAAGCAGACTGCCTCATCTTTCTTCCACAGAGCAGTTGGTAGGTTCAAACTACTGGCCTTTTGGTTAGCAGATGAGCACTTAACCACTGCACCACCAGGGAGCCTTTCAGTTCTTGGAAACAGGGGCAAAAAGGGAGGCATGGCCACCACCATTACCATAAATAATTAGAATTGCTACCAAATGCCAAACGTTTCCTCTGCACCAGGCTCTGAACCCTACACGTCAGCTGTACCACCTCATTTCACTGTGTGAGGTGGGTACAGTGACCTCATCTATCAAGGAGGAAACCATTGCTCTGGGGTCATCCAGCCATTGGGAAACAACCTGGGCTCAGGTTTCCTGGCTGTGCAGGCCTATGGGGAGAAGGCGTGGCAGTGTGGGAAAGTGTGGGAAGGTAGGGTGAGGCAGGAGCTAGGAGTGTGAAGCCAGACTGTGAGGGCCAGGGGGAGTGCTGAAGGTTCTTCCTAAACATGACAGGAGACCACCAAAGGGCTTCACTGGCAGGAGCTAGGAAGCCCAATGACACAGCCTGGGGGACCAGGAGAGGCTCAGAGGAGGATATGGTGCCACCAGAGGGGTTAAGGGTAGGTGGTGCTGGGAGACCCCTCTTCCTAGCTAGGCACACCTTGCAGATGCCGTTGATGCAGAGGTCACGGCTGGCCTGGCCCTGGTAGCAGGGGGTGCCGTCGACCACGGCGTCCCGCAGTTTCTCAGCAAAGTACTCATTCGAGGGCCGGCAATGCAGCTCACAGGGATTCACTGGGGGCCCAAGTGAAGGCGCCATCAGGGATAGGCAGGGCAGGTGGAACGGAGGCCGCCAGAAAGACCCCACCACAATGCACATCAATAGCAGGCAACAGCAGGCCGCATCTCCCAAACCATGCAAACATGCCAGAAGGTACACCTGGGCTGGTTACTATCTGCAACGCTGCAGAATGGGGAGCTTGGAGGCAGTGACAACCCCAGGGCACAATGGGGAAGAGCCCAGGGCTGGGGGTGGGGATAGGGCCTCCCGCTTGTATCACTAGGCGACCTGGGGCCTGCAGATCCCCACCACTCTGGGCCTCAATCTCCCCAAAAGCAGCAGGACTCACCATCATTGACCACCGGAACCCAGGTATGTAGCTGGCCCTTGTAAAGCATAGCATCAAAGCGGCTGCACTGGACGTGGCGGAAGGAGGGGTGGCCAGGCGGACAGGCCTGAAGGTTGCAGAGGCGGAAGCGCTTACGCTCGCCCACACAGTATTTGCCCTTGTATTTGGGCCTGTAGGAAGAGCCGAGTGGGGGACTGAGTGAATACAGTGAGGGGCTACTGTATACCTGGATCCAGGAATAGGCCCTCAGAGTGAGAAGCCTCCACCTGCATCCCTAACACCCAGACATTCCTGCTGCCCACCTTTGCTTACACTGTTCTCCCCTCTTGGTCTGCCCACACTCTGCTCAGACAGCTCAGTACTGGTAAGGACCTAATGGAAGGTCACAGCAGGATGCCTGGCCTCTGCCCTCAGCTGGCCATGTGACCTTAGGCAAGTCTTCAGCCCACTCTGGTTCTGTTTCCACATCTATGAAATGGGCTGGAACCACCTCTGCAGAAGGCTGTTGGGGGGCTGGAACAAGCTGCAGATGTGACCAGCACTGGCAGAAAGGGCTTCTCCGAGTCTCCATGAAACCCAGCATCCTGAAGGGCCCATGTATTGGTAGAGTTGCTTCTGGTGGCAGTACCTCAGCCTGGGTTAAGAGGAAGCCCTTGGCCAAGAGGTCTGCCCCTGAGGACAACGGCTACATCTGGGCCAGTGTCAATATCCCCACTTCAGCTCAGACCTGCAGGCCAGGGGGTCAGGAACAGTAGAGGCCAAAGTCTGCCAAGAAAAGGCCCTAGGAGGGGCTGGCTCTGAATCTAATGCCTATCCAGAGACAACCCAGTCAAGAGGGGCTCAATGGAAGGACCCGGCAGCCTGTCTGTGGTACTGCTGGCCTCTGCATCTCACTGAATTTGCACATCAGGTGAGGAAACTGAGGTACAGAGAGGTACAGTCAGTCACCCAGAGTCACACAGCTTCAGCGATGCCAGTCTCCCAACTGCCCAAAATCTCATCTCGGATCCAGGTCATACCTCCAATGCTGCAAAGCAGCAACTATTTTTTTAAAAAAAACTTTTTTGTTTAAATTTATTGTAAATACTATTTTTTTAGTAGACAGAATAATTTATTTTTAGTTGTCAGTGTACTTGTCTCTTGTGGTATTTTTTCTTTCTTTTTTTCAAAATTATATTGGCCCTCAGAAGTTGTTGAGATTAAAGTTTGTAGCTTTAAAAATTATTATAAAAGTATATACAACACAACATTTGCCAATTCAACGTTTTTCACATGTACATTAGTGAACCAATTGCATTAATTAATTATGTTGTGTAACCATCACCAAAATCTATTGCCAAATTTTCCATCATTATAAATAGAAACAAACTTCCTTTATTCCTCTTTTCCCCCTCCCTTGGCCCCTGGTAACCATTAATACATTTTGGTCGCTATACATTTAAACAACTATTTGCTGAGTACTTCTGTACTTCCCACAGACTAGTCGATGGGATGGTCTCCAAACCAAACCAAACTCACTGCCGTCAAGTCAAATCCGACTCATAGCGACCCCTCCTTAGGTTTCTGAGGCAGTATCTCTATGGAAGTAGATTGCCCAATCTTCCTTCTGAGGAGTGGCTGGTGGGTTTGAACCTCCAGCCCCCTAGTTAGCAGTCAAATGCCTTAGGCACTACGCCACCAGAGCTTCCTGGGATGGACATCACTGGGATAAATAATATATGTGCAGTAATTGCATTTCCCTCTGACAACAACTTTATTAGATGGGTGCTACGTTTTGAGGAAACTGAGGCTCAGAGAAGGTGTGGAGAAGACCCTTGCCCCAGGATGGAGAGAAGACCTGAACTCTGATCTTCTAAGGTCTAAGGTCTAAGCTCTTAACCACTGCCCTCTCCTGAGCCCTCCAGCCAGCTATTGCTTTGTCTTGTGGCCTCTGATGAGTCCCTCCAGGCTTTGGGGGTCAGCATTCTCCTCTGTGCAATGGAATCAGCAGCGGGGACCCTGTCAGATGCCAGGACACTCCTCAAGAGTGACTAGGGGTGGTTCTGGTGCTCTGGGCTTAGCCTCGATGGCAACACCTCTGAGAGCGGGGCCGAGGACAGAGCCAAGCTCCCCTTCAACTGGCTGACTCCGCTCAGGACCCTCAATCCCACCCTGCCATAGGCCCGCACTTACAAAGGCTGTGTACACTGACGCTCGGCGCTCTGCACACCCACACCACAACTCCGTGAGCAGACAGACCAGGCACTCCAACCAGACCAGCCGCCATCCACAGCCTCGGGTCGGAAGCCCACAGGAACACACTCCCCATTGAGACACCACTACAGAGACAGAAAGAGATAGAGCAGGGGCTGCCCACCTGGCAGCCCCATCCCAAGCCTATCAGTCATCCTTACCCTAGTTAGAATGAGGTAGGCTGGAAAGGGAGGAGCAAAGGGGTGGGGACACAGGCCTCATAGTAAAGCTGAGCAGGAAATAAAACAGGGTTCACATGCTGCCTCTCTTGGACAATCACAAGGACTCGAGCCAAAGAGTGTTGGCCCTGCTAAGAGCACAAGCCAACCTGTGAACTAAGGCTGATCCCAGAGCACTGGCATAGTCTAGCTTCTCACCCCCCACCAAGCTAGGGCTGCAGGCATTGCCTACCTTACTCTCCCCACATCTGGTGCCATCCACTGCTGCATCCAGCTTAGAGTGACAAGTGATCCCCACGGAGCACCAAAGAGTATGGCAGACATTCTATGAAGAGAAGGGCACAGCCAACCCTCACCCTCATCCCAGTGTAGCCACCCACCCTGCCCCACCCTCATTGCATGAAAGAGACCCCTGGGTACCCCTCCATGGGACTGGCACTTGGGGGTAGGAAGTCTCCAGACATGAAGATGCCCAGAGGTCCCTTCCTATCTTGTTTCTGCTCAAATCCCACCCCTTTGCTTTCTGACTGGTGCTATTGTGGAGAGCCCTGGGTGAGCCGTGGAGGCTTGAGTTTTGTTGACCAACCAATCTACAAGCTCTCGAGCTCAAGCCCACTTCTCTGGACAGACAGCCATAAAGCTGTGGGGTTTCTGCCCATCCCCATCAGTGAAGGTGATCTTCCCCTGGACCCCACTGGGGAGGTTTCATTTCCCTCTTTTATAAATCAGCTCCAGGAAGGTGAAGAGACTCATCCAAAGCCCCACAGTTGATAAATGGTTGACCCAGAATTCAGATTTGAGTCCGTGGCCATCTGATCTGAGGCCTCTCCCACAAGCCACTCTGTGACTCACAGTGTCATATGGAGGCCAAGCCCAGGATTGGGCAGGGTCCCTCCAAGGCTAGTGTCCCCAGGCTGATAAAGACCATCCCCTGAGTCCTTCTGCCCCCCACCCCACCTTTGCCCACCACGCCCATCCCCACACGTGTCCCACACTCACATCCATGTCATCACAGAAAGCGGAGTAGGCCCCATACTGTAGGCGGCATTGATGGCTCACATCATAGAGAACACCAGGTGGCACCGAGGGGAAGTCAATGACATCCTTGGTGGGAGGGTCATCCAGGCACAGGCCCCACCCACGGCTGCAGAGATGCAACAGGAAAACGGGGTAAGGGACTGTCTGTGGCCTGGGGCAGCCTGTCAGGCCCCATGAGCTAGTGGGTATAAAGTCCTAAACTTGCCCCAAAATTTCAATATCCCGTCTCTAGCCTAGACTCCAGCCCCCAGCTTCCCAGGCTCTGCCACCTCATCTCCCACCTGACATTCCAGCCAGGATAACCAACTCACCCCATCCCAACTGCCAGGCCTTTGCACCCACCGTCTCCTCCACCTACAGTGCTTGCTTCACTCTCCCAACTCTACCTGCTGAAGGCATCTCTCCTCAAGATCCAACCCAAAGGCCTTTCCCCCAGAAGTCCCCATGCACCTTCAAGTCCTCAAATGACCCTTGTGCTGCATCCCTGTAGTTTTCTCCCTACCCCTCAAGCCCAGGCCCCGGAGCCAGGCTGTGCCAGACAGGGATCTGGAGAGCATCACATCACAGTTGATAAAACACAGGCCCTGGGATGGCCTTGCTCCATGCTGAGACCTGGGGTCATCTATAGAAGGACCAGGGCCTGAAAGCAGTGCCCTGCCCGGCCACCAACCTGGGAGGGCCCAGGAGCAGCCCTGCCTGCTCCCAGAGCTGCCCTCCCTGCCTTGTCACTCCCTTATTGATTGCTGCCTTCCTCCAGCCAACATGTCCTGGCAGGCCCTGGAGAACCACACAGACAGGAGCCAAGCACAGTCTGTATCCATCACAAACCCCTGCTGACACCCAGCCTGAACATAAGGCTGAACATAAGGCTGCCCAGATGCTCCATCAGGCAGGGAGCAAGGAGGCACAAGGGCACAAGGGCCTCTGGGGCCAGGGGCCATCTGTGCCTTTGCTGAGCCCAGGCAAGCACCAATGCAGCAATATTTCAGAGCCTAAGTGCACTGGCCGGCTGACCAGCCCACTCTAGTGCTCAATGTAGTCCTGGGAGGATTGGAAGAGTGTCCAGAGGCCTTTCTGGGACAGCAGAGGCTGGGGTGGCTGAGAGAATTGAGCCATGCAGAGAACCAAGGTTGGGGCAAGGGGTGGTGTCCACCCAGGCAGGGGCCTGGGCAGAGGCAGTGGAGGGAGGCAGGACCTATGGGACTTGGGCCCATGGCCAGGCAGGGTAGGAGGAAGAAGAAACCCTTCAGTTTTCCAGTCTGGGAGGTCTGGAGGAAGCTGGTGCCCAATCAGGGAGCCAGGGTGAACAGAGGGTCCTGGTGGGTAGCAATTATATTGGAGGCCTGGGATCACAGCTAGAATAAGGTTCTGGAATTAGAGCTGGAAGTCTGGAGGTCCCCAGACCAGATAGGTGCCTTAGGCTATAGAGATCCTGGGAAGGCTGGGCTTAGGGGTCAGCATGGGGAATGCAGCAAGAAGGGCAAGCAGGGCAGGAGTGGAGGGCACTTCCAATCAATACTGTTTACACAGTTCCCTGTTCACCATGGAGAGTAAGGCACCCTTAGTCAGGGGGCAAGGAACTGTTGCCACCTGGGGACTAGGGCCCTGGCCACACCCTGTTGCTCACTGACCATTTATTTCCCTGTCCTGCCCCTCTCAGGCTGGCTACTTGCGGAGTCCCCCTCACCCTGTACCCAGCACCCAGGGCACCTGCTGTGGGCTCTGAACATCTGTCTCCAGGGCTGACGAAGCAGGCAAGATTGGGCAAGCAGGAGTCAGGAAGGTAGCAAGTGGTGCCATGGAGCCAGGGCCCCAGAATCCCTAGATCTGAGGACTCACTCTCAGATTGTGTGGCTGTGGGCAGGTGGAAACTGCCCTTCCCAGGGTCGCAGGAAGAACTGAGTGAAGTGATGAAAAGGCAAGGACCACATGGATGCTGGGTGTGGTTGTGGCCAATAAGATGACGGGATCTGAGGGACCCTCTTCAATCCCTGGTCTCCCTGCCTTTAAGACCTCAGAGTTCCAGCAGGAGAATCACAAATGGGCAAGGGCAGAGGGCCTGGAAGGGGTAGCCTGTCAAGTGAATCTCACCATCCTGTGCCCAGCGTACACACGCCTCAGAGCCCTTGCTTGGCTGAGAGAAGTGAGGCTTGGGTAGGGACAAAGCAGGCTCCTCAGAGAGAGAGCCACAAACCTTACACCTAAGGGTCTACCCTGCCTTGTGGGAGGAAACCCAGGCCTCCAGAGAGGTCTACATCAGGAGATTATCTTCAGCAGCCAAACCAGTTTTTCCCCCAAAAGTGAAAAATAAAATGGGAAAGCTCAGCTGTTCTGGCTGAAGCTGGGGCAAGAGCCCTACCCAGGGTGTGACCCTCCTCAACAGATGTTTATGTGGTAAAAGAAAGAGATATGGACAATTTTAGGTACGTCGGGACAGGTGTTTCAACAACCCACCCTGCCTCCACGTCCAGTCAGCCCTTCTTGCCCTGCACAGGTCCAGCAGCAGCCTTGGCCCCCTGTCTTTAGACCTAAGCCATCAGGCCTAGAGGCCCAGCTGCCTGCCCTGTGCTCAGCCCCTGCTCCTCAGGTCCTGCATTCTTGATCCTGTCTGTGTCCCCTGCTGACCAGGGAGCCTCCTGCACCAGCCTGCCTCAAGTTGCTCTGAGCCCCTTCTCCTGGCCTCTCCTCACACCTCTCTTTAGGGGCATTAGTCCTGTTTCTTGACCCTTCAATCTTCTTCCAGTCTACCTCCTAGGGTGTTTCCTTCCCTACCCACCCACCACCACCCCAGGATCCATTGCCTTTGGCCCTTTTTCCTGTGCCCTCAGATCCTGCCCAGCAAGACTAAGGCCCTGTGTTCTCCTGACTCAGGGCAGGATACCCCTGACTCAGCTTCCTGCCTGTGGGCTCCTGGCCCTGGGATGGCTTACCTCAGGGGCTGCATGTCCAGGGTATATCTAAAATAATAATAATATCTGCTGGCTGCTTTCCATACTTAGTGTTAATTCCTCCTGATAATCATCCCTACCTCAAAAGGTTACCCCACTTTACAAACAAGGAAACAGGTTCTGAGACTTGATGGCTTGCTCAGGGCAGAGCTAAGTCAGGGCCAGAGCAACCCCACAGTCCGCGTGCTCTCCCTGTCTGCTCTGCTGTAAGAGTTCAGTGCCAGGTCCCAGGTCCCCTCTCATCAAAGCCTTAATAGGTCACAAAGTTCTTAGCAGGGCATGATTACTTATGCAACAATAACAAACAAACAAACAAAAAACTATTGTCATCAAGTCAATTCTGACACACGGCAACCCCTTGTGTAACAGAGTAGCCCTGTTTGTACTCCATAGGGTTTTTTTAGCTGTAATCTTTATGGAAGCAGGTTTCCACAGCTGTCTTCCATGGTGCCACTGGGTGGGTTCAAACCACCAACCTTTAGGTAGTAATCAAGTGCAAACCGTTTGCATCACCCAGGGATCTATTACTTGACAAGTACCTTTTAGTAAGCACTTACTCTGTGCTCGTAGGCCTTCTACTAAGTGCTTTACACATATCACAGCTCATTGACTCCTTTCAACACGATGTATAGACTATTATCATTATTTTACATTGAGGAAGCTGAAGCCCAGAGAGGATGAACAACTTGCCCAAGGACCCACAACTATGAATGACAGAGTTGATTCATAGCCACATCTAGCTGATTCCTCTACAGCTACCACAGAAGCTGCCTTCGAACCTCGCAGGCCACCTTTAACCTGGTCTCCTCTTCCCTTCAGCCCTGCTGCCCACACTAGGTAAAAGGTCACGAGGGATCCCAGCACTGCCCACCCTGGAGGACCTAGGCATGCAAAGGAGGGATGGCACCCAGGTCTGGGAAAGGCAGACTAGGTTCTGTTGGGGCTCAGTGAGCAATCTCAGGGTGGACTCTGCTCCTCTCTAGGCTTCACACCACAACCACCAGTAGCTACTGAGCTGATTCTGACTCGTGGCAAACTCATGGGTGCCAGAGTAGAATTGTGTTCCACAGAGTTTCTAGTAGCTAATTTTTCAAAAGTAGACTGCCAGGTCTTTCTTCTGAGGTGTCTCTGGGTGAACTCAAACCACCAACTTTTCAGTTAGCAACCAAGTGCATTAATTGTTTGCACCACTCTGGAAGGTCTCTGGGTCTCAGTCTCCCCATGTGTACAGTGAACAGCAGACCTGGATGTTTTGGTTTGGAGCCATTTCAGTGGGGAAGGAGGTGGACAAATGTTGGTTGCTGGGCCCACTGGCACCAACTGTGTGACTCTGCCCAGGGACACTCAGTGCAGGCAAAGAGAAACCACATGGCTGGATTGAGGGGCTCAGTCTGCCTGGGCAGAAGCTGAGGGCACAGGAAAGAGGGGCAATAGTGATGGATCCTAGGGTGGGTATGGGCAGGTGGGGAAGGAGTTGACACTATAGGAGATGGAAAGACTGGGAAAAGAAGGAATCCAGAAAAGGTCTAGTGCCACTGAAGACAGATGTGGGGAGAGGTCAGGAGGGGGTTTTCCATCCTGGAATCCTGGTGGCCAGATTTCAGAAGTGGTGGTCTGGGAGCTGGGACCTGGGACCTGGTGTGGGGTGGGTGGTCTATTGCTGTCCTAGTTCCCTGGCCAGTGGTAGGACTTCCAGTGGAGAGGCAGGCTGAAGCCAGAGGATGCATGGAGAGGAGGGTCTGGGCAGCAGGAAGGTGGCCTATTCAAGAAGAACGGGGGTGGGAGGCCAGAAGACAGGGCAAGGGAAAGGAATGCGGTTCCCAGGCATGCAGGGAATGTGACACTGGGACACACAGGCTGCTGTTGGTGTAGGACTGAGGCAGAGCCAGGGCAGAGGAGAAATGCAGTGTCCAGGGTGCTGGGGAGGCATCCAGGGGTGTGAAGTGGGGTCCTGAAGGGGCTGGGATGGCAGGGAATGGGCTCACTGAGGAGAAGCTGCACCACACTGTGGTGGCAGAGATCACTAAGGTGAGCTCCGAAAGGCAAAGAGAAACAGGAAACGGAGGCCTCGGCTGGGGGCCGAGAACTGCACAGGCCTGGGCAGGCAGCAGGCCCCAGACTCTACCTAGAGTTCAGGGAACAAAGCTTTGGTGACTAG